GAGAGCCTCTTGTGGGTGGCAGGCTGCTGATGTCTTTTTGTAACCTCACATAGCCAAAAGAGAGTGACCTGGTTTTCTGGCCTCTTCTTATAAGGGCACTAATCCCATTCATGAGGGCTCCACCCTCATAACCTAATCACTTCCCAAAGGCCCTGAACTACTAATACCACCACTTTGGTCCTGATTTTTCTTTGCTCTTTTCCCCATTTTTAGATCTCTGAGCCTCACACCTCTCTGATGGTGGCCAGTCCAAACGCTGATTTCTGAAAAGTCCTTTTGTTCTTGAGAATAAGAACCTGCCCCCACTGGTCTCCTGCCTCCTGGTGAGTAGCAAATTGCCCAAATGCGTCTGGTGGTTCCCAGTTCAAGCCTTTGGTCCGCAGGAGGTATCTGGGCACAGCCAGCAGCCTTGGCTCTACCGGGTGCGGCAAGAAGAGCAGACAGTTCCTCCCTGTGTCCTCTGGGGAGCCTTGGGGGGCCCAAGGCCTCTTGCAGGAGGGAGGGATCAATGGTTTCTTCAAAACCCCATTCCTGCCCTGGCAGGTGTGGCTCAGCACTGGCCTGAGAACCGAAAGGTGGTAAGTGTGATACTCTCTCCGGGCACATGCTTGGGCTACAGGCCAAGTCCCCAGGTCCCCAGTTGGGGCCATGTAAAGGGAGGCAACCGATTGATGTTTCACACATTAAGGTTTCTCTCCCATTCTTTGCCCCTCCCTTCCCTTCTCTCTAAAAATAAATAAAATCTTAAAAAAAAAAAACCAAAAAACCAAACCAATCACATTCCCCAGAAGGATAGGGGTATGCACCCGGTTTCTGCGGGCTATTCCCCACTGTCTAACAGTTTTTCTGGGGCACCCAAAGCCACTGGAATAGTAACCAGCCTTCCTTTTCCACCCTGGGTGCTGACTCTCCCAAGGAGACCCTCCCCACTGCCATAGGCGGGCCCAAGGCACACAGTCTGCCAGGGGTCCTAGAGAAGTGACTGTCCGCAGGGGAGCAGGACACTGGAGGCAGCTTGCTGCCTAGGCCTCCCTTCCCCCACCAGACCCCAAGTGGGCCTGCCTCCCAGCCTCACTTCTGAGTGTGGGAAATGACCAAACAAGCTCGGAGGGGCCGACAGAGAGGGGGAGCCGCACTTACGTTTCGGCTCAGACCTGAGCTGGAGACCCAGAACACGGGGGCACGTTTCTAGGCTGGCCAAGGTGGGGATTGTGACATGCCCACAGAACAGATGTTAGAAGAGCCTAACAGAGCATCAGTTACTCTCCTGTCACAACTGCTGGGGCCTGCGGAGAGGCTGGGCGCCATTGCCATGGAGACGACCTGGTCGGCGGCCGAGCTCCAGCCCCTCTCCTGGCCTTTCCCGAATGTCCAACCACAGCAGCCTAGTGCTTTCTATCATTTCTCCATGTTGGTTTCTATTCTTTCCTACACTATGCATGAAAAAACATGTTCCACATCAAATCGCATTAGGCTTTGTTGTGCTCATCTGTTCGAGGCTATTTTTCTCTCAGTTGACTTAATAATACCCATGTGTTCTATAATTTTTTTTTTTTTGTACCCCTCTTGTTTTCGTTTTCAGGTTAAATAGATCCAACTGGCCAGGCTGTGCAGCTCTCGCTCTGGCCATCCTCCACCCACTCACCTCCTAACACGCACACCCACGCTCCCCTTCACCCCCAAATTCACCTCCGCCTCCACGCACACCCCCAGCTCCTGCCACACACACCTTCCCTCACATACACCTTCCACAACGTTCCCACCCACACCCACACACCTAGTTATCTCGAATTGCTGCCCATCCCTACCCTCCCCATCTCCATATCCCTCTGCCTCCTCTCCACACCTGCACTCCTCACTGCTCCACTTCATGCATGGAGAAATGCCTCCATGTTCTCTCTCCATGCTCTCTCTCTCTTTCTCTCTCACGATGGACCCATAAACACACTCACACTTCCCTGCACACAACCTCTGAGCTCACTTACCTTACACCTCGGCTGAGCGTTCTCCATTGAACAGCCCTGAGCTCACTGTCTGGGAGCAGTTCCCTCAGTGGAAGGGCCCTGCGGAGCTCCCAAGGGTCAGTGGAGTGCGTTCTGCCCTGGGGGTTGGCGGGGCTGATTCCGGGCCCTGTGTGTCCTCCACTGATGAAGGGACACAGGCACTCAGGAGCCCGGGGCTGCTGACTCTCCCAAGGAGACCCTCCCCACTGCCATAGGTGGGCCCAAGGCACACAGTCCCTTTCCATGCCCTCCACCACCCTCCTCTCCGGGGACACCCTCGGGGTGAATGAGCGTGGGCGAGGGGCTGGCAACTTCGTGAATAAAGGACTAGAAAGTGACTCTTCCCTCCCTTTCTTTTCTCGGCTGTTCCAAAAATACAGTCGACTCCCTCTCCTGCTTATCCTACAGGAAGCTCCCTGCCTATGCACGTCCATTGTCTGCCTGGGGAGAGACTTCCCCCTGGACTTGGCTGAGGAGCCTTCGCAGGTTACACCTAGTCCTCCCAGACACTGGCTTCCGAAGACACTTCTCTTATCTCCTGGGAGAGCTGGTCTCATGTTGGCTTGTTTCCCATGCACCAAAACCTCTGGGAGCCTTCCAGAAGTGGTCTGAGAGACTTTGGCTGTACAGTTTGTCTTTTCTCTAAATAAGCCAGCAGGACACATTTCTGGACCCCACAGACATTTAGAAAATCTAAACATTCATAAATGTCTGCATGGCCTTTTCAAAATTGGCAATTAGTTGTTAAAGGTCTCCATGATTCCCACAATGTTCAGCCCCTCTTTAATTATTTTTTCCTAAAACACACAGTTACTCTTCATTTCCCATGTTCATTTCTGGCGTGTGTCTGCTCCAAGGGGAAGAAATCCTCAATCAACACATGATAATAATCTGGGGGTCATTCCTTATGAGTAACAGATCTCAAATACCACAACAAGGGGAGAGGAGGGAGGTATGTCAAACAGCTGACATGGGACAGGCACTTGACCTAAACTGTTTTGTTTTGATTTTCCCCTCAGAGCACCCTGAAAGCGAAGGGATTATTGTTCCCATTTTACAAAGCGGAAACAGGTTCAGAAAGGCAAAGCAGTGGCTTGCCTGAGGAAACTCAGCAAAGAAATGGTTTGAGCTGGGAACTGATTGTCAAAGTCCATGTTCTTACACGTCATACCAGGCTCATCCAACTTGAGGATCTGGGAAAAGAGCAGCCGAAGCTTCCACAGAGAGGAATCCCACAGACTCATCTGTGAGGACATGGCAGGGCACTTCCTCATTGGCAACCCTAGTTTACCCAGGGCAGTACAGGTTGTCCCTACCACCGCCAGTGACAAGAACCACCACTTAATGATTGCTGCATGGACCAGCCACTAGGCTAAATTTTGGATGTTCATCCTCTCAGCCCTTGCAGCCTTGCAGGAGGGGGTCTGTCTCATACAGGGAGAAACTGAGACTTAGAGCTGCAAATAAAGTGCCGCAGGCCATGCTGTTGGGGAATCTCAACGTGCAGATTCAGACGAGGACCGCCTGGCTCCAGATGACAATTCAGATTCATGACACCATCTGGAGGGTGCTTTTAATGAAATGCGTCTGTTCTTGATGATCTTGCATAATTCAAAACTCAAGTTCTCAGAGGAGTATGTTTGAAGCAGGAGTCACATTTCAAACTCTTCCCCTGAAGTGAGACTGCGTGAACATTTTTGTTTGTACATATTAGCAGAGCACGCACCTGTGTTGCCCCGGCACCCGGTGCACAGCCCCAGCTGGGTCCCACGGACATGGTTCCTGGGCCCAAGTCCTCCCCGCCCCATCCCCTAGCACCAGGAAGATGTCCTGAAGGTAGCGCAACCTTGAGCACTTTTAGCTGCTGCTCTGATCCCAGTCAAAGTCAGAGGGACTGCTGTGTCCTATTGTTGCAAATAGAATTCACATAAACAAAAGGAGCGACACAATGACCAAACTGTTCCCTTTCCCAGCCAGTTTACCGCCCTGCAGGCCCAAGAGGCAAGCCATGGCCCCCCTCAAAGTCCCCTTGGGTTTCTCTCTCTGTGGGGTTTGGCTCAGACCACTGAGGTCAAGGCAGGAATGGCAAAGGGCAGGAAGGGTCATGGTAGGCTGAACCAAGTTATGGAACCATCCCTAACAAGGCAGAATGATTGCTCTCAAAGCCCCCCACCCCCTGTCTCTAAGCACCCTCTGTGGTAGCTGCTCTGTGCGTAGCACATGTCATTGGGATGAGGCCCAGGCTGTGGGGAGCCAACTCATCAGGCTCAGCTGGCCACCATGTGTGGCACCTGGCAGGATGCCCTCCGCTTGGCCTGGCCAAAGTGCCCTAGGCTCCCTTGCTGATTTCATTATGCTCGTCTCCACGCTGCTGGAGAGAGGCAGGCATCTCAGGTCTGGAAAGATGACAGTGCAGCAGGCCTGCCTACCGCCTCTGAGAGGGTGGCCAGCAATTCCTGACTCCCCTTCAGAGCTGGCCTCACACCCCCACTCTGTGTAGACCAAGGAAAAGAAAGAGCATGTCAGGACCCCTAGGCTCAGGTGTGTCTTCCTCCTCTGCCCACTTGAAGCAGGACTCTGCCCTATGACAGTCCAGAAGGATCCAAGGCCACAGTGCACAGGGAAATGACTAGTTCACAGGCGGTTTACAGAGAGGTGGAGAGAAGATTCCCATGACCAGAACCCAGATGACACTTTGTCACTAGACATCCTTGTTCCTGCTGCATCTTTTTCCATTCCTGCCATCAATCTGTCTCCCCTGTGGGTCTCACAACCTGTAAAGGAATCTCATCTGTCATTCTAAGTGCTTCCTCTCTTGAGCCTGATCTGTACATATGACTTAAAAAAAAAAAGTCTGGCATTTACATACACAGGAATCAATTACCCCCTCAGCACATCCCTGGGTGGCTCATTTATCTGCAGACATCTTCAAACTAATACAGTGGCCCAAGGAAGAGCATTTACAGGCTGGGCCTGGAGGGGTTGGAGGCCACTTACCGACGCTGGCCAAGGTGTACTGGTAGGGCTCTGAGAGGAAGTGTGGGAGGGTGAGGACAAAGGCGCCCGAAGCCAGCAGGAGACCCCCAATGCCAATCAGCCGCGGACGGTGCACCCGGCTGCCAAAGTAGCTGACGAAGATGATGAGGATGGCGTTGCTGATCTGTGGAGAGAGCAGAGGGGCCAAGTGAGACCAGAGACTCCGTCCTCACCCACCCACAGTGGAGACCTGACTGTACCTTGTCCTGCAAAATCTGAGAGGCAAGAGGCTGCCCAGTGTCAGGTGGGGCCCAAGCCGAGCTCCAGGCCAGCTTTGCCCAGAGAGCCCCGCAGTGGGCCAGGCATACGTAGCGTCAGCTTTTCCCTCTTGTCAGAAACCCTTCCCAGCCTCAGCTTTTAAGACTAAACCAAGGGAAGTATCGAGAGACAATGAAATACTCATAGCCTTAATTTCAACCACCTTAGGCCCAAACCCTTTAGGGGAGAATCCAAGGATGCCTCTAATTCTGGCTGGCCCCTGGAGATAGCATGTGTTCCCTAACTGAGCCCCCTAAAACCTTGGGCTTGGTAGTCAGGATAACCATCAAGCAACACGCTCCATCTCGTTTCATCATGCAACAGTGCTCATTGTACAGATGACAGAATCGGGGCTCCGAGTGTTAAGTAACTTGTCCAGGTCCATAAGGGTAGGTGATGGCTTGAATAGCTACTAGGTTTTAACTAAGCTAGTCTACGGCCTCTTGGAGGAGTGGGTTTTTGTCCTAGGAGCTCTGCTACTAACATGCCCCTGGCCCTCCCTGGGCCTGCTTCCACTTCTGTCAATGAGGGACGAGGACTAAAGCACCCCGAAGTCCTTTTCTGGTTGGACACACCAGTAATTCCATATTGCTGGTGCTTGTTGGAAGGTTTGCTCTCTGAGCCCCACCCAGAGCCAGGGAAGGGAACCCAAGGCCTCAGCTTGGGGAGCAGGGCCATAAATGGGGTGCTGGCAGATCTTCTGAGTACAACTGCATACAAAGACAGGAGCCTCGGTCCCAGAGCATTCGTTTACCTGGATCTGAGGAGCTCTGAATGTCAGCACCCACACAGCCCTTGCCCTGGCCACACCTCAGTCTTCTCCTGGATGGAAAAGCTGGGGCCCCTGTCTCAGGAAATAGGGGCCCCAGGCTTGGTACATGGCTCTTGTCGAGATCACCAATGGCCTCCTCTTTGCCAAATTCACCGGTCAGTTCTCAGCTCTCTTCCTACTTGACCTCTCAGGTCCATTTGATTCAGGTAACCCTTTCCTTCACTTCTTTCACTGGGTTTCCATGACACCACCTTCTCCTAGTTTCCTTTCCCTGGTTGCTCCTTCTCAGTCTCTTTGACTGAGTTGCCCTCACCTCCCTGAACTCTCAGCTCTCAGAGCTCAGTGCCTATTCCTCTGCTCTTGTCTCGGTGAACTCGTCCAGTCCCGTGGTTTCACGTGTCCTGTATACTTCTAATTCACACCCCAAATCTCACTCCTCATCTTTGCCCAGAAACCTGGTTCTGCCTCCCCAGACCTCCTCATGTCAATAAAAGTCACCTCCATTCTACCAGTGACTCAAGGAAAACATCTGCACACCATTCTTGACTGCTCTTTCCCAGCCACATCCAACCATCAGCAAAGCCCACTGACTGGACCTTCAACAGCCACCCAGAAGCCGACCACTTCCCATCACCTTCTCATTGCTCCCACATCAGCCCCATTATAACCTGTCTAAATTATTGATGTTGCCTCCTAACTGGGCTCCCTGCCTCTACTCCTGCCTCACTGCAGTCTATTCTCCACCCAGCAGCAGAGTGATCCTGTTGAAGAGTCAGACCATGTTCCCTCTGCTCCAACCTGCAAGAGTAAAAGGCAAAGTCTGTCCCAGAACCTGCAAAGCCGTGCTGAGCCTGGCCCCCTGCCCTGCTGTCGCTGTCCTCTGCTCTCCTCTCTTTGCACGTCTTCCACCCTCCACTCTGGCCACCCTGTTTCCAGCTGCTCTTTGAACACAGCACAGGAATGCCTCCCGCAGGCCTTTTTACTTGGCTGCTTCCTCTGTCTCCCTTCTCATCTCACCTACTTTAGACCTTTGCCCAGACTGAACCTCTTGAAAAACAAGGGAGTATTTGAAATGGGTGAAGAGAGTCAAACGTTACAAATTCCAGTTATAAAACAAGTAAGTCATGGTGACTGTAGTTAATAATGTTGTATGGAATATTTGAAATTTTCTAAGAGAGTTCTTAAAAGCTCTCATCATGAGAAAAGAAATTGTAACTATGTGAGTGCTGGATGCTAACTGGACTTATTGTGGTGATCATTTTGCAAGGTTTACAAATACAGAATCATTACGATGTACACTTGAAACTAATATAATGTTAAATGTCAAGTATATTTCAATAAAAAGGAGTTATTGAAATATAACATATTTATAATAGTTAACAATAATAACTAATTGTTATAATATGTCAATTAATTAAGAAAAGCCACTGCTTCACTGGGCAAGATGCCCAATGTCTTCTCCTGTCACCCAAGCTCCTCTTCCTGCCACTGGCCTTTTATACCCAGCCCTCATTTCCCCTTTGCCTCCCCGCTGGGTGTCCATAAGGCTTTGAGATGGGCTGCAGCCTGAAGGCTCACATGCCCTGGAGGCTGTCCTACTCTCCCGGTGCCCAGATGGCCTCATCTTCCCCTCCACCAGGCCTGGCTCTCATCTCACACCCCTCAGGCTTCTGACAGGCAGCCATCTTGTGGTCTATAATACCTTCAATCTTGTACTCAAGCAGCTGCCAAATCCTGCCTTTTCTCCTTTTGGAGTATTGCTGGGGTCCTCTTCTCCCCAAATCTCTCAAGCCTGCCTTAGTGGCACAGCCTCCAAGCCAGCCAACTCCTGGGTGCACTGTCCTTCACCTCTAGTGTCTCCCAGTGTTTTCTTCCAGAGAGTTCATCTTCATGAGGCTGTTCTTCCTGCCACAGCTCTGCTCAAGAAGCCATGGTAGTTATTACCTACCACAAAAGCTGGGAACCTTGCGCTTGACTTTGAAGGTGCTCCCTGGTTTAGCTGCCCTTTCTTCTCCTAGTAAGACCTCTACTTTACTACTTGGTCTGTTTCTAAATGCCTGGGGCAGAACCAACAGGAAAATAGAAAGCTCTATGGCTAAATTCCTATCCTACCTTTTCTACATGGCCCCATAATAGACACACAGAGAGGCACACAGACATAGACAGATACACACAAGACATGCACACATAGATACACAAATACATACACATACACAGATCACAGGTACACACACACAGTCATACACAAATACTCAGACACACACAGATAAAGATACACAGACAGATACACAGTCACACAGAGGCACACACACAGGATTGTTTGTCCGAAGAATGAACTTTCTCATGGTATTTGTCTAAAACCATACCCATAGGCATGGTTTAAAACCAGATTCTGGAAAAGCTCATCTGAGTTTGGGAAAGATAAGAGGTAATGGGTGAATTACTTTCATTTTTTATTCAACCAGAGCCTGGGGAAATATTATGTCCCTTATTTGTCTAATCCTGTTGTAGACTCTGCCACATGTCCCAGCTAGCCATTCCCTGTGCCGCTCCCTCCCCACTCCCGGAAAAATCCAATTGTTCCTAGGCCCACGTTTTTGCTCCAAGCCTAGAAAAATATAAGTGAAAATTTAGGCATGGAAGATCATTGATTTGTTTATCATCTAAGTGATCTAAGTATCTAAGTGATACTGCAGCTCTGACACTGATCAGTAGAGGTGCCTAGGCCACTCTGTTAAGAAGGATTCAGAGTTTTAGACTCAGGAGGAAAAAGTACTGTGGTGGGCTTTGGTTGGTGTGACTCAGTGGATTGACAGCTGGCCCATGAACCAAAGGGTCACTGGTTTGATTCCCAGTCAGGGCACATGCATGGGTTGTGGGCCAGGTCCCTAGCAGGGGGCATGCAAGAGGCAACCACACATTGATGTTTCTCTCCCTCTCTTTCTCCCTCCCCTTCTCTCTAAAAATAAATAAATAAATAAATAAATAAATAAATTTTTTTTTAAAAAAGAAAGAACTGTGGCGTATTAGGGATGCCTTCTAGGGTAATGGGATAGGATTATTGTGACACAAATATCAGAGATTTGTTTTCCCTGCGTTCTTCATGAGTGAGGACAACATGTACCAGGGGCATTAGCAAAGTCATAGGCCAACATTCAGGATTATGTGTGAGGGGTGCCAACCTACCTTTACAGGACAGTGCAACCTACCTGGAGGGGCAGACCCAGTCCCTGAGCCCCCAAAGCTCCAGACACACACTCAGAGAGACAGAGATATGTGCATGCTTACATGCGCATGCGCGCACACACACACACACATACATACACACAGAGAAAGCAGTGGAGGCATACACATGGGCCTGGGTGTTCAGAGGAGGGGGCCTGAGGCCCATTAGGTCAGCGGGATGGGCCACAGGGCTCTATGTGTACAGGTACATGTACGTCACAGGTGTGGGGGAATAGCCCATGGTGGGGAGTGCGGGCAGAGAAGAGTAGAGATTCCAGCAATGTGTTTGGAAGACAAGATTTGTGGTCACAGGTCTGGGAGTGGTAGTAGAAGAGGTAGGTTAAGGATTCAGGGGGAGACCTTAGCATGTGGCTGTCAGGAAATCCTGGGCTCAGATCCTGGCTGCACTGTATACACACATGAGGCCAGCCTGGGAGGGGTACTTAGGCCTTCTGAGGCACATTTCCTTGTCTAGAAAATGTGACTATGAAGAAATGCCCCCTCCTAGGATGAAGGGGATCTGGCACAAGGGAAGGTTCCCAACGGGTGAATGGCAAAGGAGCGATACCAGCTGGGAGCAGGCAGGGGGATGGGCAGACTGCAAGGTGGTGGTTGGAGGTGGGTGTTAGGAGACATCCCGCCTTCTTTATAGCTCCATCTTAGAAGCTATCTTGGGAGAGCCATGGTCTCTAAATTACTACATTGACCTGAATTTCATTAAGTCAAGAGAAGATTTAGCTACATTCCAGAGGAACAGCTGGCCTCCCGGGATGCGGAGGCTGCCGCCTCCATCCCAGGACACTGGGCTTCGTGAAGAGAAGCTGGACCTGGGAACCCCATCTCCTTACCTGGAGCTGCCAGTGTTGCTGCCATGATGCGGGGCTCTGCTGCCTCCCACGCTTCTTTCTCACTGGCTTCCAGGGACTCCTAGGCACCCTGCCCTCTCACCTCCCACCCCGACCTCTCGACCCACACTATCTTATCTAACTTTGATGTGCAGTCACTGGAGAACAGTGTGAAATCCACATTGCTGGGTGGCCAGAGAGACCTGACCTTTCTGAGGGCCAAGGCCACTGAGCAGCTCTGTCTGGCTCCTGTAATGCTCTTAAGACAGGAGCTGCTGGGCTTGGTGTCGCTCTCCCAGCTGCATGTCTGGGGCTCATCTCCTCCTGGACTGGGGATGGGCAGGGGTCACATAAACATGTGGGTGGTCATAAAACTCAATTAGAAACCCAGAGTTTGGAGGCAATAGCCCTGCATACCTGGCACAAGCTGCTGCGCTGGCTGAGCCGGTGCCCTCAGGTATCAGGTGGGAGGAGCAAGCCAAGCACCTGCTCACAGGGCCGCTGCGAGGAGGCCCAGGTCAGGGATGGCGAGGCCCCTGCCTCCATCCCGGAACAGTGGACCTCATGGAGAGGGAAGAGAGGAGGTGGGCCTGGGAACCATCTCCTTACCTGGAGCAACCGGAGGCCCTCAGCTCAGTGCCCGGTGCCGGGAAGCCTCAGGAAAGGTAGCTGCTTTCACCATGCTCATTGCATCTGGCTGTCCCCTTTCCCCATGTGTCTCTCCGAGATCCCTTCTCCTCTGTTCTTCCTGGAACCCCTCCCAGGCCCCGTAACCAGGGTGCACGAGTGCGGTCTGATGGGCCTGAACGTCCTGCTTACCTCATTCAAGCTGGAAATGAGGCCCGAGGAGGAACTGGAGAGGCCGAAGCGCTTCTCAATGGTGGTGAGGCTGCTCTTGAAGTAGGCGCTGTACAGGAGCTGGCACAGCTGCAGGAGCCCATGGCAGAGCACGAACACCTGGGGAGACACCGGACAGTGAGCCTTGGCCGCCCACCTTGGGCCTGGCGTTGTTTTCTCATCCGTTACTTGGGAAGGCTGATTTTATCAGGTGGCTCTGAGGGTGAAATGCCATCGTGGTTCCACCGGGAGTCACTCAGTGCGTCATCAGCCATCCAGTTCCACCATTCCTGTCATTCTTAACCCTGTTGCCATCAATGGTCCAGTAAACCACAGGGCTGGAGAAGTACCCCCTGGGAAAGGCCTGACTAATCAGTCGCATTCTTGACTTGTTTTCTGACAACACCACAGTGCCCTGTGGGTTGCCGTGGTGTCCTTCCTCCCGTCCAAGTCACTCCCGAGGCACGGACACGCCCAGGCCCCATTGCTCCACTCCTTTTGACCTGCTCTCCATTCCCCTGCCTCCAGCAACATCTATCCACCAAGGCCCACCTCTCATACCCCAATGACTCACCAGGATGGGTTCCCGAGTCACCTTGTTTTAATGAATGCCCCCAAGCTTGTTATCACCTCTTGTTAAGGATCTGTGTGACTGTGCGGCCTCCTCCCTGGGGTGAGTGATAAGGCCTGGGGAAGGCCCAGGCCATTGTCTCTGCATCCCATCCTGCCCCGTAGACCCTGTCATGTGGGCATGAGTACATATGAATCTTGTGATTGATGGGGACAGATACACAGCAGGGAGGGTGGAAAGGAGCTTGTGGCATCTGGAATCAGCTCCATGCTGAGCTCTGGGCCCACCTGCATTCTTAGCTCTTTGGCTGGGACACAGGAGGTTCAGAGCCAGGAGCTGCACGTCCCCGAGCCCCCTGGAAGGTGGCCCTTCTGGAGACTGTACTTTTCTTCCAAGAAAGGGCGGGGTGCCATTGCGTTCCGTAGTTTGCCAAAGGTCTTCTCTTAATTGAATGGCTGGCGTCTCAGGAGAGCAATTGGCACTCCACTTTCAATTCTATTTCTTTGCAAAGTTAATCCCATGCCCTCTGCAGGGGCCCCACTCCATGCTGTGGGGCCAGAGCTGACAGTCCCTCTTCCACCTTCCAGGCCAGAGTCTCTGTGAGGCCAGCCCAGGGCTCCCAACAGACAGGGAGAGGGAGAGTGACAGGGTTTGTGCAGGTCAGATTGTTTTTGGTGGACACAGGGCATCTGAGCACACTCAAGCCCTGAGCCCCTGGTTCAGGCCAAATCCAGGAAAGAGGCAACTGGATCTCGGATGCCTTGTCATCCCTTAAAGGCTAATACCCACAAAACTCCGTCTGCTGAACATGTCCATGTGAACACTTTCAGACCCTACAGACTGATCACTTCCCAAATAGGGTTCATCATCCTCCCTCACAATCCTCTCCTGTTCTTTCTTCACCCCATCACCTTCACTCAGTTCCCAAGCCAGAAACTGGGACTCCTAGACATCCTGTTCCTCACCCCCTGGTATGTGGTGCCATTGCTAAGCCCTGTGATTTCTCCTTGGTGTCTCCCAGTCTTGACTCACCCTCCATCTCGGGTAGCGCCTTTCCTCAGACCCTCCTCTCCCTCCTCTCCCGCCGGTTCACTACGACAGCCTCTCGCAGGTCCCCTGTCTGCCGCACCACACCTTCCACTTCCCTCCCCAGGCAGGGCTTTCTCAAACACAAACCGGGAGCAGGCGACACCTAAATTAACACCTCTCCCTGGCTCCCACTTCCTACAAGATAAAAACCAATGCCCTTGGCATGGTATCCAAGACATTACAGGTCCTAGACCTCCCGGGACTCTGGCTCCATACTTTGCGTGGTTAATTGTATTTTACAAAGATGGCTACACTATTATCTCCTGTCCCATGTACATCCCCTTACAATGTGACAATGGCATTCCTTCATCAAAAAATGGAGTCTCTGTTCCCTCCCCTTCAACATGGCCAGTCTTAGCTGCTTGCTTCTAATGAAGAAATTGAAGCAGAAAAGACATTGTGTGACCTCCGACGCTAAGTCCTGAAAGTCGGTAGAAAATCATCCACCTGGCTCTTTCTCTGTTGGGAGGCTCAGAACACAGATATCACATTGTAAGGAAGCCCAGACTTTCCCTTTCATGGAGAGGTCAAAGGCTGGTGTTTCAGCTGGAAGCTCCAGCTAGTTTCAGCCTGCATCATGTTACTGAGCGAGCTCTTGGAGGATACCAGCCCCAACCTCCAATACCAAGTGGAGCAGACATAAGCTGCCCTCACCAAGCCTTAGATGGCAGATTAGCAAACAAACTAAATGTCATCATCATTTTGGTTTTTTTTTTTAACTCCTCACCTGAGGATAGGTTTATTGATTTTAGAAAGAAAAGGAGGGAAGGAGAGAGAAGGAAAAAAAAATCAGTGTGAGAGAGAGCATCGACTGGTTGCCTCTTGCATGCACCCAGACTGGGGATCAAACTGCAACCTAGATGTGTGTCCTGACTGGGAATCGAACCTATAACCTTTTGGTGTAAGGGATGATGCTCCAGCCAACTAAGTCACCTGGCCAGAGTAATGCTGTCATTGTTTTAAGTTTGGGGTCGCTTCGTTATACAGCACTAGATAGCTGCAACACCTGCTGCCACACACCTTGCCCTTCAAACTTCCTCAAGGTCAATACTACTCAGGTTCCCCACAGCACACATTCATTGTCTATGTATTTGTGCTCACAGTCTGCACAGGATCATCCTCCCCTTTTCTGTCTGGAAAACTCTTCCTCGCCCTTCAGGGGCCCTCTTGCCCAGCATGGAGTTCAGTTATGTGTCTAGTTCAAGGTTCCTTCTAGAAATCCAAGCCCCCTCATGCTGACTTCTGCACAGGGGCATCTTGGTGGCTTGGCACTTGGCTGGCATTAAGGGAAGCATGCAGCAGAGGAGTGAGGGCTATCTTAACAACCTGGGAGAGACACAGTAGGAGATGGACCAAAGGCTGGGAGAGTGCGGATTTGGGGAGGGAGTTCATAGGAGCTCTCAGAGAGGCTGAGTTGACAAGGCTGTCCCTGATTCGAGGTGGAAGAAAAGGGACAGCGCTCCAGCCTGAGGGCAGGAAGGGGGCAGGGCCATGTGTGGAGACAGGGGGCCCAGGAAGAGGCAGATATATGGAGAGGGAGGACAATTTTGGAACACCTGAGTTTCTGACCATGAAGCTCAAAAAAAGACCAGTTTTCCTCTAAGTAAATCAGTAATGAATTAACAGGAGTGACTAATCCTGCCAAATTCCCCAGCAGTCTCATGAGAGGAAGGTAAAGACAGTGGAAGGAAAAAAACTGTCTCAGAACTTTTCCTGAAAGACATGCCTTTGCTCCTTCCAGTAAATAAAGAAATTCCCCATTTTCTCCCCACAAATACTAGGTGGAAGACTCCACCTAGAGTCAGCTGGCAACTTTCCACATCCCACACCCCTTCATAGAACCGGCTGCATCGCCAGCGTTAGCCACTGAGGTCCCGTGAGGTCTGGGCGCCTTATGGGTGCCCTGGCAGAAGCACTGGCATGTATCTGTGCCCCCCGTTTCCAGTGGATTCAACAGATTTGGGGGAGCAAGGTTCATGGCTACAGGGAGGGATGGGTGGAGAGAAAATGCCAGGAAATGAGAAAGATGTAAACGGATAGTTCCCGTAGAGCTTTCTGGCCAGGGCCACACAAGGTCATCAGAGCCATCTGACCCCACCTACTGACCATAGAGCTTCTGTGGACAGGACCCTGGGACCATGACCCAGGCTGCTCGAACTTACTGAGTTCGGCATGAGACGAGCATGAGACAAAGTGACAAACACCTGCCACAAGCAGGACTAGAAGTCCACCCCTGGGGACCATGGGGTTTAAGAGTATATGTAGAGGGAATGGCAGGAGAAGGAAAAGGTTTGCTGGGTGGGTTGCAACCCACCCTCCACCGCCATTTAGACAATACAGTGTTGGGGTTTCGATGGTTTGGGCTTTGGAGTAAAACAAACCTAGGTTGAAATTCTTACTTTTGGCTACATATTTGTCCTCTCTGTTGGTGGTTTCCCCTGTAAATGGGGGCTATAATAATACCTGTTCTCACGGCTGTTGTGAGGCTTGCTTGAGAGCATGTGTCTAAGCACCTGGCATTCTTCCTGGCCCACATGCTAGAAGGACTTCCACTGTTTCCTCCTGCCCAAGTAACTGAATGTTTCTGATGTTTTCAAGTCTCCTGTGGCATGAGAACTCGGCAACAGAAGTTCTCACAACGTGCACTTGGAACACCACCTGCTTGCGGTTCTCCAAGCTGAAAGGATTCCCAGGAGAAGTAACTCAGGATAAGTTTGCATATTATAATCTTCCCACATGTATATTTATAATTCACATTAGCATATTAAAGACTGAGGAAACCTTCAGTGAAGACCTGCTTAACTTTGTTTTATCCAAATATCTCCGTAGTTAACCATGGGACTCCCTACCTCCATATATATATATAAAAATATAACAGAGATGAGTACTCTGCAAAAAAATACTTTAGGGAAAGATACCATGTCCCTTTTAGAAAGTAGCTTATGGTGGAATTTGAGTCTTGTGATTTCTTCACAAAAGGAAAAGAATGAAGATATATTACATGGGCAATATTATCTTCTTTAAAATAACACACAATCATTCTCTATCTCCTCACTCTACTTTTTTTTTTAAAGCACTATTGCTTACTACAATTACATCATACATTTGATTTCTTCTTATTTGACTTCTCCCCCAACCAGGGTATAGACTTCATGGAGGAAAGATAACGTGTTTTTTAGGATGCCCCCTCCCTGTTTGTCACCTAGTCTAAACTGGGGCTCAGTCATTACCAAATGAATGAATGTGTCTTTAAATACTCTAACTGATGGACCCTTGCTCCAGAATGTGCACCCGCCAGAGTAGCTGTTCATTCCAACGATCTGTCCTCAATCATTTATGGATTCCCCCTTCAGTGTTGCCTTCCACCTGTCTATGAGCCATGGAATTTACAAGGCACAAAACAGCTTTTTTCAGGTTAGCTGTCCACTTATTTACTTGGCTCAACTCTAACTTATTTTTG